AATAAAAAAATGGTAGGAAATTAACAAGGAAAACTTCAACAATTATTCACAGCAAAATATTATACCTGAATGCTTGATAGGGATACTATACTATATTAATGTGGTGCAATCATGCGACACGACACAATTATTCACAAATTTGTACTCACTCCGTTCCAAAATAGATGACCCAACTTTATACTAACTTTAGTACAAAGTTAGTATAAAGTTGGGTCATCTATTTTGGAACAGAGGGAGTAGTACTTACTGAGCAGGGCACTTTCATGTCTGGATCCAACTTTATGTCAACACCAACAGATTTGTAATACTTCTCAATAGCCTCTAGGTTAGAGAAAGCAGTGTGGTTAACTACTTCCTTCAAGCCTTGCAGAATAGACTGGTCCTTTCCACCATGCGTCTTCAGAAATGATTTATATGATGACGGCAAACTGTCCTGCTGTAGAATGTATGCAGATCTGCAGAATCAACAATATAGGCAAAACTCATATCCCCACATCCTATTGAATATATACCGCAAAATATATATAACTAAATACTCACCAGTCACCGGTGCATGATGCATATATGTTTTAATATTGTAACAAATGGTTGAACTTATTTCAAACAAGATAACAAGGGAAATGCCCTTGAATCTACAAATACATCACATTCTTACATTTATATTCCAGTCCCAGTAATGCACTCTATGATTCCATGTCTAAAATATTTGGACTAGCAAAGCAATTACAGTTCAACAAACACATTACTTTTACACATTTTCTCAAAAATGACCCTATTATTTACATGTGGCTTTTGCCAAACATCAAAATGTTGTCTGCCCGTCTGAATACGATGCATTCTAATGAGACATTAGTGAAAGACATGAAAGAAAAAACATTGTCATCTAGGTTTACATGCTATTTTATTATGATATTAATAAATAGCAAGTCATTTCAAATTTCACTGAAGAATGACATAACTGTTGTTGATCAAATGTAACTGCTATTTTTGTTAACAAAGTAGCCCTTATGTGTCACAAACAAGGTATCTCAAGAGAATTTTGACAATTCAGATAAGTTGTCCGTACTACTTCTGTAGTGCCATGTGCAAATATAACATTTCCAGAAGTTAACATATAATGGTTCAAAAAACTGTTAGGTGACCCTTTTTTCAAATAATCAGTACTTGACCTGCATAAATTTGAAATGCTAGCTAGCTCCGAGCATTGGGTGTAGTGCAATAGGACCATCGGGCCCAAATAACTCCATACACTGCATATCAGTGTATATTAACAGGGCTAAGCGATCTTTGAGCATACATACAGCAGTAACATTGACATATACAGCTAGTGCAACCCGAAAACTCATAGGAATTCTGTCAATGGAACTTACAAAATTTGTGCAGATGAAAGGCACATAAGGAAGATATCACCATGTGACCAGGTCAAAGGTTTGCAAATCTTTCCAAATCTTCTGCTCTTTATTCCACAACGGGATGCAAGCACCGCAGCACGCATGAGAATGTATATTGCCAAACTGGTATGCTGCGTGCCTGGCCCCGTCAAGAGCATAGAAGGACCAGCAATTAACCCGGATAATAATGACCTCCACCTTGCTGTTCTGAAGCAACAAGAGTATTGAGTTACATACTATCCCAAAACAAACTCATACATTAAAGTAGGATAGTGTGGAAGATACAATGGAACAGAAAACAACATGCATTCTGTGATATAACAAAAGTTTAAATGTGTAATGCGTTTTGTGACGACTGACCCCCTTCATAACTTGGTAATGCTTATGGTGTATGGTAAGGCCACTTCATAGGCACAGCCTGGGAGTCCATTCAGTTGTTTCATGGCATGTGTGTAGAAGCGTGACTGAAGTCACTGAAAATTGGAAATGTGGAATATTTTATTGATTTTCTAATTATTGGAAAACAAAATAAAGCCAAGTTTGTGACTTTTTGTTTGCAGGATTCAAAAGTGAAGTTTGAAAGGTCTAGGTTGGAGTATCCCGAGGGAAGTTTCAAGATCCAAAATCATCCAAGCAACATTTTATGTTAGACAGGGGAATAAAAGAAGACCTTGCTATGGTCCTTTTGGAAGCATAAACAAAGGCGTATTGATTCATCATAATCAATAAAGATGATGATTCAAGTTCAGACAAACTCACTATACACTATTGAGATTGCGCTCAGGTGGTTGTAAGGATCTTATTTTGGGTTAGCAAGCAACATATATCTCCAGATCACGCAAGAGTTGCATCATTTGGTATTTCCTAGCGTCAATGGAAGTCCAAGATTAGAATTTAGCAGTCAAATATTACAAATCTGTTTTGACGATACCTCACAGAGTTGCAAAATGTTGGTCACTGATCAGTACCAATCCAATACTACCTCCGTTCAGGTTTATTAGGTCCCCTTATATTTTGGGTTAAACTTTGACCATCGATTTGATTTGCAAAACAAAAGCGACACGTCATAAAAATTATATTGTTGGACTCGTATCTGAATGAAGTTTTCAGTGATACCATTTTTTCCTACATATAACTCATATTTTATTACGCAGAAGCAGATGCATAGTCAAACTTTGGCTCAAAATGTGAGGGGGCCTAATAAACCAGGACAGAGGAAGTAAAAAGTAGCAATCCCAGATTCAAGCAGCAAAAAAACATCGTCTCCACACTGTAATCATTTGCAAACTGCAAAAGGTTGACCCCAAGGCCCTGACCAGAATAAGCAATCTTTGCTTGCAATTGACGGCACCAACAAACAAAGAACAATTTCTACGACAATACACCTAATCCACATCAAAGCACATCCCCTTGAAAATATGAGCAGTTAGTAACAAAACATATACTGCTCTTCCTCTTGCCCTTCAAGGCTCACACACTGTTTTTTACACGCAGCTCCGCAAAGCCGGAGGCAATTATTAGCTCAAATCAAGGATTCGCCCACCATCGTAGTAGAAGATTTGCGTCTTCCCTTGCCATAAATAGGAAGGGGAGAAGCTACTAGAATTACTTCAACAGCTGGGTGTGAGACCAGGGCTGACCTTTTGCGGCCCCAAAGGGCGGCGATGCACTCGTCGACGGAGACGAAGGCGCCGGCGAAGGTCCCCAGGAACATGCCGTACCTGACCGTCTCCTTGAGCGCCAGCAGCGCCGCCTCGTCGTTGGTCATCGCGCCCGCCTTCCTACACGCACCACGCCACACGGGTTACGACACGACAAGGCTCGAGCAGCAGCAGCAGCAGCACGGATCAGCAGAGTCGCGTGCGGAGGAGAGCAGCGAGCGCCCACCTCGATCTGGGGGAGCGGCGGCTGCGGAGGCGGACGAGGACGGAGAAGAGCGCGAGGCCGCCCTTGAGCCCCGCGCCGATGGCGAAGCCCTTGGTGGCGGCCCCCACGCAGCGCCGGAGCCACCGGAGGTCGTCGCCCTGCCCCGCGCACCGGCGGAGCCACCGGAGCTCGCCCTGCGGGGCCAAAGGCGGGGGCTTGTCCGGCGCGGGCGCGCAATGGAGCTCCTCCGGCGCGGCGGGGGCCATGGGTGGGCCGGAGATGGGGATCCGCCCCCTCGCCGTCGCGGTCGCAGCGAAGCGGAGGAGGCGGGCAGGGCAGGAAGCCGTGCTCCGGGCGGGCCGCGTGCGTGCGTGGGCAACGTGTGTCAACGTGGGGACTACTGGCAGGGAGGAAATAGTCGCGCTGGAGTTTTAAACTTAACCGAAGGTGCTGGAGGACACGCACTGCTCCGGCCCGACCAGGCGCGACCCATTCTACACAGCTAGCTCTGCGCTGCATCTCTACAGGACAAGGCAGCTGCTGCATGTGCGGACGCTCCGGCCATCACTGGTTTAACACTGCGCGTACTACGTACTAGTACTAGTTATGATTGATCAGGCGGTGCTTGATTATGGCGCCAGATGCCACTACGTAGTCGTTGGATGGGTGATCATTGGTGGGGGGTCTCTCACGATGGCATGCTGCAGTCATAGTCTTAGGTTGGTCACAATGGGAAGAAATTTAGGAGTAACATCACACATTCCAATACAACTGTCACATATTTAATGAGGAGATAGGTGCTTGTGGTAACTAGCTAAGTTACCGGAACATCACACACTCCAAGAAACAATGAGTCTATAACCTAATAAATACATTGTTGCATGACACTACATAGATGTTCCTACCCACTATAGAGGTAGTAACATAGTCTAGGGAAGTGTGTAAGTTACTAGACTATGTTCTTGCCCATTGTACCAGACTTACATTACAGCTCCAGTCTCTTGAAATAAGTAGTGGCGGTGAAAAATCAACACACGTACGTAGCACCCACTCGGGGCGAGTGACTGGCGGCAAGAAAGACCAGAGACAGCGGGAGTTGTGCACGCAACAGCCGACACGCACGCGCACGCCCCCGTCGTGTCCAGTTACACGTCCGCGTCCGGCCCATTACGAAAACGGTGGCAACTGGCAACCGCGATGGACGGACGACCGCGCGTTGATCCTTTTCCATGTTCCGGGAAAGCAGAACCGAACCCATGACGACATCCACGCGTGTCGCACTCAGACCATTCTCGTTTCCACTCTAGTCTGCGCCAACGGACCCGTGGCCTGAGAGCGGCCGGGCATCGCTTTCGAGCTTTCCTTGGGGCGGCATGCCTATGTTGCTCCTTCTTCTCTGCTTGCTCCTTTGGACACTTGCAGCTGGACGGCGCGGCCCAATGTTTATTTGGTTGGGGGTGTTTGGGTTGGGGTTTTGTCCTCGCATCTTCCGCCACATGACACGAGCAAGCAAGAAAAAATTACTGACCAAAGCGTCAAATACACAGCACTGCAAGCATGTTTCACTAATGCTCGGCGACAAAATACAAATGGATGCGGCATACTTCAGTCTGTCCATTTACGGACCGCCCGACTTTCTGGACTGGCGTTTCTGCCGTATCCTTGAGAGCTCCACCTCCAGCTTCCCCATCCGGCCTCCCTCCCCCTCGCCGCCGGCGGCCATGGTGGCCGGCGCTGGGTGGGATGGAGGTCTGGATCCTAGGTCTAGTAGTGTGTGAGTGTCTTTCTCTGGCAAATAAAGTGGAGCTGCGTTTTGGATCTTGTCTAGGTGGTTGTTCAACTCTCCCCTGGGGCCACGCTGGTGGCGAAAAGGCGGAGGCAAGGATGATCCCTGGCAGCGGATCCTTCGGCGGCTTCCCTCAGCCGGATCCATGGCGAAGCTTAGGCCCGTCCGGTTTCGTCCCCACTTCTCCCCCCTTTTCTTGCTGTAATAAATTCCAATATGGTGCGCCAGATGCTCTTCTTCCTCGATCTGTTCTTACCACCATGGTTGTGGGAAGAGAGATAGAGCAGCAGGAGATGTACATGCCTACCACTTGCAGGAGGCCTCGTTGCTACCTTCCTCCACTTGATGCCGCCAAGGTGGTGGATGAAGAGGGGTGGGGAAGCACTGAGCTGAAGATTGATGGTCGGGTTCGAGCTCATCAGCAGAGGATTCTATGGTGGAGCTACGGCGCCTGCAGTCGGCTGCCGGTGTTCATCGACCCTCTGCTTCTTCTGGTCGAAGGGCGGCCAACCCCTTTCCTCCTGGCTTGCATGCCTTATGGGAGGCAGTTCCAGTTTTCGTTCAGAGGCTATGGGATGCACGTGCTGCACCCATGGCGATCTCGTCGCCCCAAGTGGTTCGTCCCCGGCGACGGCGAGGTTCAATCTGAGCAAAGGCTGCCAAGGACCCGATTGCGTTTTAATCTTTCAGCTAGGGGTTCTCCATGCAAAAGTCTGGGACTTTGTTGTAATCTTTCTTTTTCTTTCGGTCCTGATGTAAAGTGTGCTTTGAAGCTTATCTAATGTAAGTCTGGCCCTTCGGGGCACTTCCCTGTTCAAAAAAAAAAAATGGATGCGGCATTCACCACTGCAGGTTTCGACGCCTACAGCTTCAGCAAAACCACTCCATCATGTCGGTATCTATGATCTATATCACATGTCCCTCCCTATTACGGACGATGCCGCATGCAAATTATATCCCCAACTCCAAGCATATAAGTGAACGAAACCAAGGACGGCACTCTGTAAAAAAAACTTCATGAGCATCCAAGCTTAACTAGTTTAATTCCAGGCAACTAACTGGACGGTTTCAGTTTCATAATCCACATACATTTTCCTCCAGGATGGATATACTGTACAAGGGGCCACTAGAGCTAGACAACCAAGAGACCAACAAAAACTCAAACCATAATGGACAGGGCAATTTAGTCACTATCATCTATCTGGTGAGACTACCAAACAAATCAGAGGTAATTTACAAGAAACAAACACCACTTCGTTAGGACCTAGAAATAGCCCGGCAACGGCATGTCATCGTCCCAGAGCTCTTTGAATTCACTCATCAAAAAGCCTTCATCCATCTCCGTCGACTCCTCAAGCATACTTTCTTCCACAGGCTGCGTCACATTAGCAACAAAGAATTGAGTAAGCCTCCCGTTAAGAAAACAGAGCAAAACTCTCATTTTCTTTTTTCTTTTTTCACCCCTCAACTCTCGCCGGAGTTTTTAACCCAAACATCATGCATAATTGTTCGGCGTCACCCTAAAACTTTTGTATTGGTGCTGAAAGGGCGGGAAAACGTATTGCTACCTGCGATTCCTGCATTTTTGTTACGACAGTCATAATCCTCTGATACTGGTCCCGGGCTTCGGGGTACTGAACCATGGACTTCACTCTGGCAAGAGCTCTCTGCAGTCTTTCTTCAGTTTGCTTCCGTCCTTCTTGCAAGAAGTTATAATCATCCTCTGCAGGTTTAACTGGGATTACATCAACGCTGCTGCTACTAGTGCTGCTGTCTGTTGCAACTTCTGTAGACCGAAACCCGCGTAACCCAGCTCCTCGCCGCCTCCATCGCAATATAACCTTCTCCACTATCCCGACAGACCAAATTATTTTGCGATAATGCTTTCTCACTTGGTGACCTCGCACATGAGCCTAGCAAGTACACAATATAGCACGGTTGAGAAAATTTGTTCATTATAATAATAGCATCAGAAGAAGAGATACTTCACAAAGCAGTGCACTATACTGTTAAAACATCATGCTATGAATATCCTGTCCTAGATACTAGATTAGTCGAAGAGAAAAAAATATGGAGCTCATGTTTCACTCAATTACCTTTACATAAATTTGTAAATGATATGGTCATAGTTGACTTTACTATTGCAAAATTCAGTAGAAAAAAATATGGTGTTGGCATACTCATTCAGTATTAATCTGGAGCGTTCAGAATTTTAACAAAAATCATTGATTAATGTCATACACTTGATATTCATACCTGGATCTTGACAATTCGCTGTCTAATAAGCAAAAATTCTTTTCTTCCCTTCCATCCACGGAATTTGTTTTGTATTCGAGTTGCAGCAGCATGCATGGGATCGAACTGTCCTGGTTTAGATGGTTTATAAGACAAGAGTGACATGGCACGTTCATCTGATATCACACCATTGTCATCCTCATACTGAACTGCTTGCTTTCTCTGGAAGGACTGCACCCTGAAAACTTGATATATCCGAGCAGCAGCCTGGGCAGCATTCCGCACAGCACCTAGTGAATCTCCCATCGATCCAGCCTGAAGACCTTGACCTGCTGATGGTGACGCAGTTCTTCCGGTAACATCTCCAATACCAGGTAGGCCAGATATCTCTGATGCATTGCTCCCCATGGCTTCCTTCAGGTTGAGGGTTTGAAGATGGCTTGTTAAAGAAAACTCTGCCAGGAAACCAGAAATTCCCTTGTGCCCATTGAACGACGCAAGATCAGCTGGTGTGCGTCCTGAAGGGAAATCAGGCCTTGGATCCGTCAAAGCTCCAGGAGCCGCACCTAATGCTATAAGAGCAACAACTGTTCGCTCTCTGCAGAACAGGGCAAACAAGTTTAATACATATATATGTATGTATGTATGTGCAAACAAAAACTATCACCCTCAGAAGAACTTACCTGCCACAAAATGCTGCCCAGTGAAGTGCGGTCCATCCATGAACATCTCTGAAATTTATGCTTACACCAGCAGTTATTGTTGGCCTTATCGCCCAATCATATCCTAGAGCAGCTGCCAGATGAAGAATGCCCTGCCCTTCATCATCTAACACACTGGGACCTTTGCCACCACCTCCTGCTTTATGGAGAAGCCAGATATGCAGCTTTTCTTTGATACCGCTTTCAACAAACTGATCCTGCCTATCATCAGGGGCAAGCTGATTATCATCAGCGAACTTTAGCAATTCAGACCACTGATCATTGTTTGTCATCAATGAGGTTATCTTCTTGTTCAAATCAATCAACTCCTTTGTGGGGTTAGATAAAGCTGCCTGGAACTCATCTTGCTGATCTCGTCCCAAAGACAATAATTCATCAAGACGCGCCTGGAGATATATTTTGTTTGTAGCACCATGTGGACTTGGAGCATCCATGTATTGAGAATCACTTGGTCGATATTCAAACTCTCGTACTTCACTGCAGGCTAACCTGTTGGAGCAAGTCACATAAAAAGGGACCCTGCCAGGTTTGTGCGAGGGAGAATAGCACCTGAGAGTCCCGTCTGCTAAAATATCTGCTGGAACTTCGACTTCTCCAAACATACACGACCACTTGAGCTTTATAACTTCGTCAGAAGTTAGGAATCTACCAGTAACAAGAACCTGCAGGACACAAGAAATTTTGTAAGCAGTTAAAGAACACTAATTCACTCAGACACCAAGACAGTTCTATTTCGTATGGCGCTCCTAAGACTTTCAAGCTTTAGAAGCACAATAAAGGTAAAAAGGATAAGTGTAAGAAGACATACCCTAGTCTTCGAACCTGCATATGTCCAGCTTGGAAAATATTCAGTTATACTAAACAGCTGATCTTGTGCAACCATTGGGTCCAGAGTAAACTGATCCAACTGATCACGGCTCGATGCTCCAATGATATTGTCAGCATCTTCACTGTTCCAGTACAATCCAGAACTGAACTTTACTTGGGAATCATCTACTTCAGCAAGTTCTTTGCTCATCCATCTAGTAAAACTATCACTTTTCTTAAAGCTGTTCTTCAGGATATCAGAAAGATTAGATGATTGAGTTTTCAGGACAGGGAAATTAATGGCTTCCTCCAAAAGTTTACTGTGTTGTTCAAAATTGTCCACTGTAGCAAATGTACTATCAGTAGCACTTGGAAGCTGAAATTCAGTAGTCCTGCCATCAATAGCACTTGGAAGCTGAAGAAATTCAGTAGTCGTACCATCATTAGCACTTGGAAGCTGAAATTCAGTAGTTTCACAAGTGAGTACCAAAACCAAATTGAAGCCGGACAATAATAGTATATATTTTAGGGGGGAGACAATAATAGTATAATATCAGTAGCATGGAAGTCAAGCAGATGCAATTAATCAGTGTGCAAAATAACATACAAAATAAGTCTGCTGGGATACCAAGAACCAGCAAGGGAAAGAAAGAAAAAGTTCTACCATGGAAATGAAAACCAGGAAATCATCTTTTAATGAACAATGTAATACGAAACACTATTACTACGATTATTCAAAGAAAATAAATACACGCCATCCTGAAAAAATCACTATAAAAGCTGCAAATATTAATCTGTGCAAAGTGGATATATAACACTCCCTCCAATCCATGATTATTATGGATCGGAGGGAGTATCATAGATTCATACTTAACAACACTAGGTAACCGAAAGGCTGGAGAAACAAACATGCTAAGATTGGCTATGCTCTTTTAGCTCTGACAATGACATTGCAGCTCTATAGTCTAGCATTTCCCCACTAAAATTCCAATTTCCTATTAATTTTTCCCTACTAGAATTCATTTAGCATTTGAGCTCACCATCCTCATCCTAAAAATCATTTGAGCTACATTTTGGAAATATTGAGGAACAATACACTTAAGCGGAATAAAAACAATACATAAGGCGCTTTGTGGCATTACTATTGTACTTCCAGTCTGGTACTGTTTGTTAGAGAAAGATGTGCTCCTAATTGACTTTTGAGAAGAACCAATACCTCATTTCAAAAATTAGTATGTAGGCTACTTCATCAAACAATGTCGCGCGAATTACTATTGTTAATAAAAGTGAAAGGGTTATCAGTTACAAAACTCTCTGCATTTCAGAATATAGGGAAACAATATATATTCCATTTTGCAAAATTCTGAAGCAACTCAGGCACTAAAAGTACAAGTTGACATAAGCAGATAAGACACAATTTCATGGGCAGTGTGCCACGGCCTATGCTCATAGCCGTGCAGATCCTCGTGCCCCATGGGCACAGCAGGAGACAAGGGTTGGGGGTAATCAGAGGCAAACCTCCTCTTTACATAAACAAAACTTTATCATCAGAGAATATTAATATGCTATATATATTATATTGCCACACAAAAATGTGCCTGTTACCTGCCACAGTGCTTCTCTATCAGTGTCTGCATGACCATCATCCTTGATATCCAGCCCATTGCTATATACTTCATCAAAACTGAAAGATTCTATTCCAGGGCCTTCTGTAAAAGGAGGCTGCTCAGAAGGAACATGAGACTGGTATGGAGGCAATTGATGGATCTCTTTATTCAGTTTCGTCATTTCATTCCATGATGACAGGTCAAATTGAGTACTGGGCCCATTGAATGTAATTCCAAAAGTGGACTCGTTATGAATCACAGGTGAGTTATCTTGATAATGAGAATAGAAGCCCGTATTAGGTGATGTAGCCTGTAATCCTTGATGATTACCTAACCATTGGTAGCAAATGAAGAGTCACAAATCCATCCAACTTAGGTTCATAACCTGAATAAATCATTTTTGGTGGCACT